CTTGGAGTTTTAGTCAGCACCCGATAAGCGAAATCCGTGGAGATGAAAGTGGTCCATCCTACTGCACCATTTTCTTGAACCTCCCAATCCAAAAATTAATTTCATATATAACATTATTTTCCAAATAAAGCATAACGCAGAAGGATCTATTCATCTTCACTAGTTGCACAAAATTTAACATGGGGTAGTCTAGGCGTAGGAGTGATGCCCATGGGTGAAGGGGGTGGGGAACGCGAGGAGAGGGTGACACAGGTTGAGGGCCGGAGCGCGGTGTGAATGGCAGTGTAAAGAAAGTCAAGGCTGAGAGAGGGAGTTGGTTGGTCGGTGGTGGGGGATGGGTTGCGAGTGGATTTCCAAGAGAGAAACTTGGAGGAAGAAGAAGGAAGTGAACGGTTAAAGGCCGCCGTTGGTGAAGGATGAATATGGGAGAGAAAGAGGTGCTGGGTTTAGAGAAGAAAGAAGGGATGAAAAAAAGAGGGAAGGAAGGGGAGTCAATAATTATGGCACCAACGAATAATCACTGGGGTTTGTTTATGTTTTCCATAAACAACAATTATGGAAAACATAAGATGCCAACTCATAAGTTTTAAAAAGTAAGGGTGTTTTTGCAAAAATAAATCCAATCTACCATACATCATCTTATCATTCCCTACATCATGCACGGGAATTTATCAGCCGTTTTGAACTGCCAAAGCCAGACTGATAGAATGACACCATCGGATGCTAAAAAGATCTTTGGTTGCTTTACATCCTTGCATGCAAACAAATTTTGCAGCTTATCGATAATGTCTCTTTATTCTTTGGATCTTATGAACGACATTATTTAAACAAATTATTGAAAAACTCATCCAATTCAATGAAGAATATCAAATTGATGTAGAAACGGTGGCGAAGAACAGAAAAAACGAAGCAGGCATTTGGGTGCTGGCCGGTCGACTGTGATGACAAGCCCGATCAATCGGATTCATGCACAGAACAGGGGGAAGTTTCAGCTCCCTGGTCGGTCGATCGCGAGCTCAAAGCCCGGTCGACCGAACCCTATTGATTCTGCAGGCTGAGTTTTCAACCTACTGGCCGGTCGACCGCGGGGAGCAGTCTGGTCGACCGCGATGCAGTTTTGGGTCTGGGCTCGGTTTCCTGATCTGTTTGGGTTTTGTGTTTGATATAAATACAACCACGTTTTAGAGTTTTAAATGAGCACAAAAGAGAGACTTTTGAGCACTTTGTCTGGGAGAATTTGTGAGGGATTTGAGAGCTTTGTTTGTGAGATTAAATTGAGTGATTGTAATCTCTATTTGTACTCTCTCTCTATTAGTGAAAACCATCACATCCTTGTCCCGTGGACGTAGACACATTGTCGGACCACGTAAAATTGGAGTCTTGCTTGTGTGGTGCTTGTTTTTTTTTTGTGTGTGTTGATTTGTGCTCCTATCTCGTTTGTTTGTTGTGTTTCGGATTCCGCCACGCACAACAATTGATGTGGTAGCAACAAAAACCTCCATGTAATTTGAGGCATGTGGTATCTAGAGGTGTTTGGGGGAGTTGATTTTTGGGCTAACTTTAAAAAACGTCCCTAATATTAGGGGTGTCTAAAGAAAACTCATTTCAACTATTTTGTGAGTAAACTCTCCTCAAGATCGGTAGTCTTGTAAATAATCCTCAACTTTGAAAATTTGAGAAAATCTTTCTAAACTTTTCTCACTTAACCCCTAACTAGTACTATTAACTCAAACATGTCACATGATAAACGTGTGACTTTAGAGGGTTCAGGCCATATTCAAGACATTCTAATAATACTGTGAAGATTGAGCGATTTCTATGCCGCTAAGGTTTGCCATTAAAAACTTCTACCAAAAGAAAAAAAAGAAAAAAATTTGCCCGTAAAAACACATGTTGCATAGAGAGGATGGGAAGTATTAAATCTTAAATAACCTTTTTCCAAAGATCTATGTATACTTATTAAGCGCAGGATAATGTTAGCCTACAAAATTATAACCATTGTGACAATTTCGGAGATTTTGTATAGTGGCGGTAACTTTAACATAATAACAGAACAATTCATATTTGAATAATTCATATTTGAATCTAATTGGTGACGAATTTTTGAAGCAGATTAAAGAAAAAGAATCCTCTTTGTGAGTCCATTACAACCACGAATATGTTAAGAGTATAAAATTACAACACTCAACCCTCACTTTCAGTGCTTTTGTGGCTAGTTGAATATAAATTTATAGCACTCAATCCTTAATATAACTTCCATTGACTTTGACAGATGAAATTACTTTATTTCCCAATGTTGCTCTTCAATAGTATCACGAGATTCATGTTGATTCTTTTGCCTTCCATCTTAACTGTGAAGTTTTCAATCTTTTGTCCTGCACATATTTCTTACAATCTCTAAAATTTAAGCTCAATAAGGACCCTCTCTACACTTCGGGACTGCTCAAGGTAAAACTTTTAAGTAAAATGAAAAAAGGTCAATTTCAGAAACGCCTTAGATTTGGGGCTTTCATATATTACCTTAACTATTTTAATCCAGTATCCCTTGAACCTTTAGAGGTTTTGCATATTATCCCCTGAATTTCTTTTATCCTACTAAACACCTTATAGGTTTTTCGCTTAACCTCAAAAATAAAATCGTCAGATCTTATTAGGTGTGTCCAAAAAGCCCACCAGACGTAGGTGTGTCCAAAAAGTCCATAGGTCCGGACCCGGCCCAGGGTTGGCCCAGAAACCCGGGCAGACCCAGGTCCGGGCCGGCTCGTCGGCGCCCGAACTCGGCCTGGAATAGTAAATTTATTTTTTTATTTTTTTAAAATTTTTATATGTATAATATATGTATATATATAATATATGTATACATAATATATTTTTATATTTTCCAGAATAGTAAATTTATTTATTTTAAATTTTTATATGTATAATATATGTATATATAATTCATACATATACATAAATATTTTATATTTTTATAATGTATATATTAATAAAATATATTTATTTATATATTATATATATATTATATATTATATAATATATATATATATATATATATATATATAATATATATTATATATAATATATATATATATATATATATAATATATATATTATATATATATATATATATGTATTATAGTAATATATATATATATATATATATATAATATATATTATATAATATATATATTATATAATTATATATATATAATATATATATGTAATATATATATTATATATATATACATTATATTATACTATTATTAACTATTATATATATATATATATATTTATATATTATTAATACATATATATATATAATATATATATATATATGAGAGAGAGAGAGAGAGAGAGAGAGAGAAAGAAATATGGGTATGCTTTGCTACCAAGCAAAAAAAGTTGTGCCTTGATAGTGAGGGTGCTCACAGTCCCCCCCACTCATTCAAATTTGGACCCATTCATAATGGGTAGGAGTGGAATGGGGATGTGACACATCACTACTAAACACAAAATTTTGTGCTTCGGTACCAAGCCATACCCATATTTTCTCATATATATATTATATATATATATATTATATGAGAAAAAATGGGTATTGCTTGGTACCAAGCATAAAATTTGCTGCTTTGTAGTGAGGTGGCATAATCTCCTCCACTCATTCAAATGATTGCATATCCTCTTGCCATTCCTCAATCCATGTGAATATGGTCCCCCATTTGAATGAGTGGAGGGGATTGTGTCACCTCACTACCAGCACAAATTATACTTGCTACAAGCATACCCTATAGTATATTATATATATATATATATATATTATATTATATATATATATATATATATATATATATATATATATATATATATATATATATATATATATATATATATATATATATATATATATATATATATATATATATATATATATATACAGAGAAATATGGGTATGCTTGGTAGTGAGGTGTCACATCTCCCTCCACTCATTCAAATGTGGGACCACATTCACATGGGTAATGAGTGGATGGGGACATGACACATCACTACCAAGCATAAAATTTGTGCTTGGTACCAAGCATACCTATATTTCTCATATATATATATATATAGGGAGTGGTTCAAATAAAAACCTCACTATCCTAAAAACTAAAAACAATTCCTCTCCATTGGATCTAGATTCATCCAATGGCTGAGATTAAAGTTGCATAAGGGTAATCTGGTAAAATAAACAGCCCACTAAAGAGAGGTAATTAATGCTTCTCTGTTGAGTTCTCCATTTCCCCATGCAATCTCACGGCTCAGGCAACCACTACAACAAAATACAACATTGCCGACGAAACAAAAACGTCGGCAAAAGTTTAAAAAACGTCGGGAAAAATCTTTCCTGACGCAAAATGCAACGTCGCTAACATGTCGCCAAAAGTGCGTCAAGGAAAGTATTTGGCGACGCAAATACACTGCGTCGCCAGAAGTACACTTTTGGCGACGCGTCATGCGTCGGAAAAAATATATCTTTTAGTGACGCATAATATTTTGCGTCGGCAAAAGTGTACTTTTCGCGACGCATACAGCGTCGGCAAAAGCTATGCGTCGGCAAAAGTATAGCTTTTAGCGACGCAAAATTGTTCGTCGCTAAAAACTATACTTTTGGCGACGCAAGTTAACGTCGGCCAAAGTTTAGCTTTTAGCGACGCAGAATAAAGCGTCGCTAAAAACTATACCTTTGGCGACGTAAGATAGCGTCGCTAAAAGATATTATTTTTGACGACGCAATCTAGCGTCGGCAAATGTATTTTTTTTTAGTCGGTAAAAAGTATATTTTTATTGGCACTAATTTGCATCGCTAGAAGTAATATATTTTCTGTCAACTACACTGAACCTGAACATCCACAACAAATTTGCTCCAATTCACATCAACAAAGAAACCAAACATCAAATTATACTCCAAACAAGTTGCATATTAACAGCTAAAATAATATCGGTGCTTATTTTCACAATCATTAAAATGAAACAAATAATAACATTAGTAAATAAATTTAAACACAATTCTATTAAACAAATAACAAGTGTTTGACACATGTTTTATTAACAAATCCAACAATCATGATTAAGTAGACTTGAACAATAAAGACTACAGAGAACCCATATCTTATCAACGTTGCAAGCTTTTCCTTCGTCACGTCTCTGGCTTCTTCTTCCCACCTTCACCATCCATCTCCAACTTCTGTTGTGTAGCTGCAATGGAAAGAAATGTACTCAGTAAGGCAAATAAAAAGTTAAAATCAAACACAAAAAAGAGTATCATAACGTGAAAAATACCCTACAAAAAATTTAATATAAAGTTTGAAAAAATTTCAGACATGAAGTTTTAGTACACATGTATGCATACATTATCAGAATCAGCGTCTGAGATGATATCCTTAATGTTCCCTCCATCATACAAGCCCTTCTCCTTAAGCGCCTGCTCGAGATCTTCAATCGTGATAAAACTGTATATATACATACATACACAACATATTCGAACAAATTCTAAACCATTAAAGTAGAAAAAACCAATAATTACAGAAAAATTATCGTCACATACCCACTATTATCCTTGTCGAAATACTGAAACGCTGTATACAAATGTTCTTCTCTATCCATTCTATTCATGTGCATCGTCGCGGTGATGAACTCTTCGTAGTCTATCGTTCCATTTCCATCTGCGTCGGCCTGTAATAAATTCAAACACACAAAAGCTTTTAGCCTAGAGTTGTATATATATACCTGTGAATTTTTATGCATACTATTGCAATGCTTACAGCTTCCATTAGTTGTTTAACTTCCATTTCTGACAGTTTTGTTCCTTGCTTTGTGAGACCTTGTTTTAGTTCTTCGAGTGTTATAGTTCCACTGTTATCGGTGTCCATGCCCTTGAACATCTCTTTTAGTCCTCTTATTTCTTCTTCTGATAAACATCCAGCTATTACCTGCACAATTGCGAAATTAGTTTACAGATTTTTTTCCAGCTCGAAGTCAGATCAGCCCGTAATGTTTTACCTCGGAAACCTAATATTTTCAAGTCTATTCGAGTCCTCATGGAGGTTTTCCACTCTAAACATGGACAAAAAACACTATTCTGTTGAGGGTAAAATGTGAATGTTTCTCGCGGCAAACCGCCATAAGGACTCAGTAGACTGGAAACAACAACTCCAAGAGCTTAATGCGTTAAAAATATTAGGTTATGGGCTTCTTAGAAATGTTGGCTGAACGTTAGGGGCTGATCCTACTTCGAGGTCGATTATTGTAAATTTATATGCATTGAAGTTTGTTTGTAGTAAATGTGGCCTACTCTTAATGCAGCTTTCTTGAATTTGTTCATCGCCCTGAACTGCTTCAGTCTGCCAAGTACAACATTATCAAGAGGTGTATCTGGTGCTTCTCCATAATGTATGCAATCTTACCTATGTTCATTGAGGCCGTGTATAATCACCAGAATAGCCCTGCAAAACCAAAAGGAAAAACAAAACAAATGTTGGTTGATACTTTTGTCCAGCATCTAAGAAAAAATCAGCAAAAAAAAGTACCTAAGAAGTAAGAACTTACAGAAGTACTACAAAAATATTTTATTAGCTAAAGAAATGATTCAGACTTCCGTCTAGTGGATCATACAAAACCATATAAGAATGGATCCTCTCCAACAAAATACATTATAAACTCCTGCCTCTGCCTGCCTTTCGACCGAAGTTTTCAAATCAAAAATGAGAAATTATAAGAGAAATCACCTAGCTACATCAAGACATTTGATCCAGATAAAGAGAATAGAGGGGAGCGCATTAGAGTGTAAGGAGGGCAAACCACAGGAAGGAGAAAAAGGGGAACATGGAGGTAAGCTGCGACCAAGCACAAGGCGATTTCTTAGTGTATAACCAATGTCTCAACTAACCTATCATTGATCATACGATAAAGAACATCATGATGCATGTCTTTTCTTTACTGATTCAATTCTGGCCTATTAATTCATAAAGGGAAATTTTCTTCGTTCATTCATAAGCCAAAAGCATAGAATATTTTTCTGCTCCGCAGGTAAATTGCCAACTATAACCAACCGCACCAAGTGCGATACTACAAGCTTACACCACAAAATTGCAATCCATGAAGCGCCAAAATACACTGCCAGAAATCTTAGTAATCAGATTGCATTGTAAAAACAATTCATTAATCTTGACCTAGATACAGAACAAACTAAGCCCATTCATCAAGTTTCTTACAATTAACCATTAAAAAAAATCAGAGAAATCACGAATAAAATATCTCAAGGGCAGATAATACTCACAGTGTTTGCCAAACGTTGCCAGCCAATCCTCGGTATTCTTCCGCTGCTTCCCCATCTTCCCCCACTCCGAGCGCATCTTTTTACTGCCCCAACAGGATCCAATCACAGTTTCAACACTCAATCAAACGTAAACCCCTAAATTAAAAATCAATCACAAAAAAAAAATTCCTACCAGGCCGATTCAATCAAAGATCTGAAATTAAAGAGATCGCAAAGGGGCTCACTCTTCGAGGAGGATGAAGCGGCGGCGGGAGAGGGAGTGACGTATGGGTTGGACTCCGGCGGCATGGTGGTCGCCTGGTAATCACCAGCGGTTGCGGATCTCGCCGCCGTGTCCGTCGCCGGAGGGGGAGGAGCCACGTCAGCGGGGTCGAGCTTAGGGTAGGGAGCGTAGTCCGCAGAGTGAGAGTGCTGGTCGCCGCTGGGCTCGGTTTGGCCTGGACAATTTTAACGGGTTGATCGGCGACAGCGGCGGAGGGTTCCATGATTTTGGAAGGGAAGAGGGGATGTCTTCTCTTCGAGCGGCGGCGGCCACCGGTTTCTTGGCGGAGGCGAGAGAGATCTCGGCGATTGAGAAGAGGAGGAGGATTGCTAGGGCAGCGAAAGGAAAAAGTTTTGCCTCAGCGGGAAATGAAAAAATAGGGGGGATGAAATGAAAAGTAGGCGGGCAAGTGAAAAAAAAGAGGGGGGTTTTGGCGACGCACATGAATAGTAAAGCATCGGTAAAAGTATAGCTTTTAGCAACGCAATAGTTTTGCGTCCTAAAAGCTATATTTTTGCCGTCGCAATATAGCGTCGGCAAAAATGTTTATATTTAGTGATGCAAAATTGTTCGTTGCTAAAAGCTACATTTTTTGCTGACGCTAACGTGCGTCGCCAAATGTATACTTTTTTACGACGAATATTTTTACGTCGCTAAAAGTTATACTTTTGCCGACGAAAATAAAAAAACATCGAGAAATCCATACACTTTTACCGACGTTAAGTTAAAACGTCGCAAATAATATACACTTTTAGCGACGCTAATTATAAACGTGGGGGGAAATATATGTTTTGCCGACGCTAACTAAAATCGTCGGGAAAAACATAGTTTTTTGCGACGTATTTTACCATGTGTCGGGAATAAGCGTCGGAAAAAGTGCAATTTGTTGTAGACTTGTAGTGAACACAAGTTTTGAGTTTTCTAAACTTTTCCAAGAAATAGATTGTTTCGCTTTGGTTCGCACAAAAAAATAATGGGAAACCAATGTATTTATTTTTCTTGTGTTTGGTTCGCATGGGAAAAAAGGGAAAACTTTTGTTTATATGGCAAAAAGCCGACGTGGCTGCAGTTTTCGTCGATTTCACAAGGTTGAGGAAGAAATTGGGGGAGAGAAAAAAAATCTGATGTGAAGACGGGGTAAAACTTTTCCACCTATAACGGCCACTTATGTACACTATCAAACCTTCTTGCCAAAAAAAACTTCTTTCTGCACGCTTTTTAAGTATCTCACCTGATCACGAATCTTATGATCAGAGCAAAGTACTATTCCTCATCAACCTGCACATCCAATACCACCGCGCGCAAAAAAAAAAAAAAAAAAAAAAAAAAAAAAAAAAAAAAAAAAAACACAGCAGTGCACAAATTAATTGAATCTCTACCCGCAGTAGAACCGGAAACAAATGTTTAATATGCAGTCCACAATCGATCTCTTTGCTGGAATAGAATGCGCATAATGCGCCAATCAGAAAAATCCAGTCTGTACAACTCTATATAACTTGTATCGTAGGCCCTTCAAAACTAATTAGTTGCATAACTTAATTAGAATCTTTTATATATTTTTATACTTTAAGGTAGGTATCAAGTTGCCAGAAGAAAAAACTAGATGTAAAAAATTAAAATTTATACCGCCTGCTTCTTTAAAGACTTGAAGCTTTCATCGTCCAAAGCCATCAAGCTCTCTACATAGGAGCTGACCCCGAAGAAGCCGCTCTCCCCACTACTAAAGATCGTCGCTTCAACTCGTTCTTCCGCTGGGTTGTAGACCTGCAGCTTGCCGTCGCACCTCTCCAACAGCGCTCTTCCGTCCTTCTCCACGTCGACGATGAGGATAGCAGCAGCGGTAGTCGATGCTGTACGCCTTCACCCACGACGCGCAGCTGCTGTCATGGCCCTCCTCCAGCAGCCACAGATCGACCCTCGATCGCTCCAAGCACTCCATGCACAGCGATCCGCCCAGCCGCCTCAGGCGAAAGGCCCATGCCTCGTCGCGATTGTCCCCTGAGAAGTGCCTTATGCCGGGCAGCGGTAGCTTTGACCATTCCTCCTTCTTGAGATCGAACCGGGCTATTGCCTCGTTGTTGTCGTCATTGTACAGATCACCGACGACCAGCCGCATTGTTAAACTACCTGGCAGGAAATGGACGGCTTCGTCAACGACGGCCGAGTACTCTTCATGAACCCAAAAGGGGGGGGCCTCCTTCTCCCTCCATCTCCCTGACCCAAGTGTGAAGACCTCGCTTCTAAATACTGGCTCGCTGATGCAGAGCACCTTGTATTCCCCTGTAGAAGGAAGGTAAGCGAATGCCACCGCGTGGCGGTCGTGCTTCGTACTGCGGAGCCCCAAAGATGTCGTGGGCAAAGCGATCTGCTCCCTGGTCGCAGGGTTTCGGATGTAGATGTCCCACGGTGACGAGGGACTGTATATGCAGACGAGGTCGAGGCTGCAGGAGATGACGAGGTCCCTCGGTTCAGGTCGAGGCTGCAGGAGAAGACGAGCCTGTGGGGCCGCAACTGCACCCTCGGTGAGTAGTAGTCTGTGGTGGTTACACGGTCTAGTAGCACGTGAAAGTACGTCCGGCGGTATCCCCCACCGTCGCTTTCGGAGGTCGCCACGAGGAGGAGAGGGTTCCGTTCGGATCGGCGGCGGTGGGACGACCTGAAGGAGGGGCTGGAGATGAGGGAGAGCCATGATTTGGACACCAGCTTGAGACGCGAGAGGGTCTTCACGGGGAGGAGGAGGAGGATGTCGTAGACTACGTCGAGAGGGAGGGACGACGGGTTCGACGAGTATAATTCGTTGTTGATTTCAGAGGAGGCGGCCATGTTAGTTAGATAGATAGATATCAGCCAGTCGGAGGAGTTTACTTGGGGCTTTGTTGATTGATGGGGGTTATAAATAGAGAGAATTAAGGACCAGCCAGAATTAGGACTCCTAGTGCAAACAAAATTCTCCCCAAATCCAGTTCAGTTGTAGCTCTAGTCAGAATAGGAGAACAAATATTCGATCATCGTCATCAAGCGAACAGAACATCTATCTATAATAACTCCGGAAAAGCAAATCTTATGGAAAATAGGATTCCCTAAAGATAATCAACTTATGATAAAAAAAGTTGCAGGCTAATTAATTACCAGATTAATTGGTGAATCCTAGGCTTCTTGGGTTTTTGAATTT